ATTATTATCCCGTGCAGAGACATGGACATGCTTATAAACAGCCTCGTTTCAGCTGGCTGTGCAGAGACCCCATTCTTATAAGCCCCAGCACAGAGACAAATAAAATGTAGTTTGGGAACAGAAAATTCACTGTTGTGTCCATTTAAGGCCTTTTCTGGGAATTTCCATTGAAAAGCAGAGTTTGGTGCATGCCTCAGAAAGCACTGTGAATATTTGCTCCAGCAGCCATTAGGGTGATCTGTGGCTCTGTTCACACCCCCGCCCTTTCTGTTCATTTGAGTTGCATTTGGGTCCAAAAGACATCAGTCAGAATCAGGGCCCCACCTTACTAGGAGCAAAATGAAGATTTGATCCCCTACCTCCATTGATTCTAAGAATCTAAGAACCCCCCATGGTTATTTTCTCTGACCATTTTAGTAAACAACGTTATTACTAGAACTGGTTAGGAAAAAAAACCATTTTTCCTGGGAGACGTTTTTTAGGGGCTAGAGAGGAGGAAATCATAGAAATTTAAATCAGCTGAAAAATCTCAGTTTTCCTGCAGGAAGTTTCAGGCCAATTCAAAACAAACGTTTGTTTCAAATAGGCATCTCAAAATGAAATGATCATTTCCATCTCATTGTGACGAGGAAGACTTTCTATCCAAACATCCTTTTGTTTCAGTGTCGTAAAAATCCCAAACAAAAGCATCATTTGAAGCTATCCCAGAAAACACCACCTGAAATTCTGCATCAAGGAATCGATCTCCTGCAATGCCAGGGGAAACCCTAGCAGGTGCCACATGACCACAGGATACATGTGTGGCGCTTGAGTCTACAGCAGGGCTACTGTACTGGGGGCCACAATGATAGTCACAGCACATGCTGAGGGCCGCAGCTTCAGTGTGGTTGCATAGACATGCAAATATTTATGCAAATAGCTTCTTTCACATTGATGGGCATGAATACAAAGATTAATGCAAGACTACACAACACGCAGGCTCCATTTAAGTCCGTTCTGCTGATATTAATAAAATGCAATAGTTACCCGCTTTCCACCCATAGGACAGCCCTTCTAACGAGCAATGGCAGTCCAGGAATTTAACTGCTAAAACGTATCTCGACAGAAGACCATTCTATTGACGACTTTTTTGTTTTGGCTCCCAGCCGTGGGTGGCGTGCTAAGCCCCACGTAAGCCCAAACTGTACTGTGGGCCACGGGCCACATGCGGCTCATGGGCCACATGTTGAGTAGCCCTGGTGTTCAGAATCTAAGAACTGGATACTCACGTGGGGGTTTTCTTATTAAAAGACAAATGCAAGATACAAACAGAAGGTAAAAATCAAATGCAACGCATCAGTCACGCATCTGTGCCTCTTCCACCTGCTGCATCTGCTCCCTGTAGCAACATTTCTGGAAGAGCATCTGGAGCAGCATTTCCTGCTCTAAAATACTCTGCCTGAAGACTAGCACTCCCACCAAGAGCTACACTGCAGGGCTCATGTCCCACCGGGTGTTCAGCAGTGGGTGATCCCAGGGAGCAGAGCAGTCATGGTCTCTCCCTTATTCCAAAGCACCCAAATACCCGGGAGGCAGTGCGTCTCATGGGGGTTGCGGGAGGAGGTAGCATTCCACTTTGGAGCACAAAGAAACAAAGACAGAGGAGGTCTGGCCAGCCAGGAGAACAGACGCTGCTGCAGCTGCACGAAGAGCCTCTCTGCTCTCTCCGAACCACGCAAAGAGGAAGAGGAACATTAGGTGGCTGGAGGGGAATGTGCCAGCTCAGACTGCTGGGGAAGGATGCTGGAGACCTCTCCTAGCTCTGGGTGCCTTTAGCACAGCACCTGCTCACAGGTGACTCAACATCTTCGCTCCAGGTGGGGCTTTGCCACTCCACTTTCTTGAGGCAGATGGGCACGTTTGGCTTGTCCCTTCCGATTCCCAGCTCACTGCACTCACTGTGTCGCCCAGCCTGCTAGGTATGGTTACAGAATGCAGCAGCTGCACCTAATGGCAGCAGTGTCTGCTGGGATTGCACAGGTATGACAAATGAGCATGACACATCACTCCAGAAATACACAACGCACACCCAGGTTGTTTTCTCCATTTCCAAAACAGCTGCTATGAATTAACAACTCAGCCTGTGCCAGCCATCACACGCACAGACGAAACGAGGCTGTTAGCACGGCCCATTGCTCACAGGTAGCAGGTCCTGTTTTCTGTGCTAGTGACTCGGTTTCCTGTGGCTTCCTCTTCAGTGTTCTCCAGAGTTGGAAGGTTACTGCTTTAGGTCACATCTATACTTACATGTCGGACATCAATCTTCTGGTGTTTGATTTAGTGGGTCTAGTTAAGTCCTGCTCAACTGAATGCTCAGGGTGGCTCCGGTTAGTGACAGTGCTCCTCACAGTCGCATTTGCTCCCATCGACCTCCCACTGTGAAGATGTCGCTAAGCTCAGCTTAAGATACGTTGACTCCAGTAATGTTATAGTTACCTGGAGTTGAGTACCTTCTGCTGACCTACTAGGTCAAGTGTAGACCTGGCTTTAGAGCTGGCTTCAATTTCTAAGGAAGCCAAGGCAAAATGCACAGGGGAAGGTTGACTCGACAAGGTCCTTATAAAGAAATGTGTGCTGTTATTATTGGCTTTATTTATTAATGACGTGTCCTCATCTACTGTGCATCGATCTTCTCCATTTCCACTGCCGAATTCTCTCTCAGATTTACACCCATGGCAAAACAGCCATGTAAAGCGACACTGAAGTTTGGATAAACTGATCTGTTCTGATGGTTCCTGAGGACAGAATTGTCATCTTGTTGAAAATGATGCAAACCTTGGAGGTATTAGCTGAGTTTTGTGCCGAGTTTCATGTTCGCTAAATCATTAAAACCCATGCACAAAGGAGCCCCCGCTCTCAAGCTGCCCGTAAAAGTCACTTCACTTCCCCCTAAAGCTTTCCAGTGCTCTAGTATGGGAAAGACAGATTCAAGTTCAGTCCTTATTCCTGCCACTGATTACTAAGAGCACAAGAAAGTGTGAACCCCTGCTTCTGTAACTTCCACTCTGATTCATCTGAGGAAGTGGGTTTTCCCATGAAACCTTAAGCCCTAATAAATCTGCGAGTCTCTAAGGCTATGACTAGACTGCAAGCCTCTTTTGAAAGAGGCTTTTTCGAAAAATACTTTCGAAAAAGCCTCTTTTGAAAAAGAGCATCTAGACTACAACCAGTACTTTCAAAAAAGCAAGCCGCTTTTTCAAAAGAGAGCACCCAGACAGTCTGGATGCTCTCTTTCGAAAAAGCACAGTTTGCATTATATAAGAGCACTTTCGAAAAAAGGCGTTCTTCCTCGTAAAACGAGGTTTTCCACGGTCAAAAAAACTGCCACATTCTGTCGATTTACTTTCGAAAGAACGCGGCAGCAGTCTAGATGCAGGGGAAGTTTTTTCGAAAAAAAAAAAAAAAAAAAAAAACCTGTAATCTAGACACATCCTAAAATGCCACAGGACTCCTCATTGTTTTCGCAGATACACACTAACATGGCTACTCCTGCAATTAATAACCAGTACCCTGGCCTGTAGTGCTCATGCCTTCATCTCCCATGTATCCCCAGACAGCCCCACACCGGAGCCACCTGAGTACAGTTTTCATGTCTGGCTGCCATACATTGACTGACACTAAGCCAGCCTCACATTTACAATCATTTAGACCCCTTGCCTCCAGAGCTCCATGCAGCGTGCCCCCTATAGCTCAAAGAGCATTCACTCTGGTGTCTGATGCCAAGGCAGGGTATGATTTGCATTATTTCCTCTTATTAGCATTGTACAATGAGATATCCTTCTGTAATTCCCTCCCTTGTTTAATGGGAATTTATTTAATTTTGTTTTGATGATGTGTGGTGCTGTTAATTGCTGTTCCAACACGTCTTTAATGATATATCCTTTCTAATTGTTTAGAGCTTGCCTACCTCTTAAGTGCTTTAATACATTACAAAACTAATCCATTCTCTGCAAAATTAGAAATTCCTTCTCAGCACATTTAATATGAAAACTTGAGTTCAAATTGCTGAACTCTTAACTGATCGCCCTAATGACATTCTTTTTGAAAGCGACTTTTTCTATAGAGTCTTCAAATGGCAGAACTGGCTTTGCAAGTTTAGACAGCAGCAAGCAGAGATGTGGCAGACAAGTAACAGTGGCATTATTTAACCATTGGACACACGTTTAGAGACCAATATACCCTGCAATAAAATTATTCTTAATTTTAACAGCATTGATCTGCATGTACATTTTGATTGCACTGTCCCATTTTAACTAGCACCTGGCTAGTTACGAGATCGGTTACAAAGGTTTCTTTTTTGCATGCACTTCCTTTCTATAATGGATTGGTTCAATAATCTTCAAGGATAAGTTTCATCCACAAGGTATTAATGTAATGAGGCTGAGCAGAATAACAAATACCCCAGACATCGCCAAACATTCCCAAGTGCCAAAGAAAAGCTTAGAAAATCAGTTTCAGTCTGTATATTAAGTGGACATGGCTGGACTGCCGACAGAAGGAGGGTGGGGGTAAAGATGGCTTCTGCCCCGGGCCCAGAGATTCAAAAGGGCTCAGGCTCCAGGCCTCCACCACTACTGCAACAGCAGTGTTGACCAGAACCCCGAGCCCTTTAAATCTCCATCGGAGCTCTGGGCGTCATGCTCCCAGCAACACTCAAGGGCTGGCTGGGGAGGCTGGCCCCGGCCCCACCTCTTCCCTCCAAAGCCCCTCAGAGCTGGCCTAGCCCCTTGCCCAGGGGCCCAGCAAGTCTGTGAGCCACCCTGGATGTAGCTCAGGCTCTTGTTTTACGGTTCTCTAAGCCTGGGAATGTGAAATTTCAAACATTTCTGTGTCAACTTCCAGCAGGAGCCCAAAACGTGATTCCAACGGAACAGGGAAGAATTGTGCTGTTTCCAGCAATCTATCACAGCCACTGCAAAACGTCACTCTCCACTTTAGGCTCAGAGTCACAAAGATCTTACCTCATAATGTGCCACCCGCTGAGATTCTGAGATGAGCTGAGCACTGCACACTTTGCAATAGCTTTCTGTGAATAATTCCTGGTCGATGTCAGACGACTTCATCTGCGTGCAAGGACACAAACAGAAACAGAACAGAGGGAACCGTTATTTTCCGGGGTAACACCAACCACGGACAAGTCACATGTGACATTCCACTGTGGCCCACGAAGAGAGGAGCAAACTAGCATTCCGAAGAAGCTGACTGCGCGCCAAAACTTCAGTACAGGTAAACAAAGCTGTAACATCGGAAATGCCGTAGGTGCAGGTGTAAGGACGGACAAAATCAGCAACCCAAGTGTGATGCCTTGTACACAATTCTCAGATAAATGGACGTGCTGCACGGAACGGGGACGGCGGATACTCTGTTTATTTCTACCCTCAAATGAAGCACACGACTAGCCTGTGTAAATCCACATTCTTACTGCTGATATCCTTGCCCTCTCTGCTCTGCCTTCTTACTGGCTGTTAGACTCAGAAAGTAAATGTTTCTTAAATTGGATTATCAATTAATTTTAGGACAGGAACCAGGATGGCCTGTAATACAACAGGGTCCCAATATGGATGGGGGCTCTTGGTTTCCAATACAATATAATTAATACATAACATGAAGGACTCCAAGGAAGCAGCAGAAAGCAATTGAAATGCTTTCAGACTGTAAACAAAACTCCAGACCTCACAACATTTACTTTTAACGACCATAATTCATTATTGTGAGTTTTAGTTCCAGATTTCCACAATGACAAGCCAGGCATGGAATTAAGGACTAAAGAAACCCCTGCCCCCCAACGTGCTCGTCCACGACACGGCTTGCTGCTGTGAAACCAATTCTGAGAAACGCTATGGACACAGCCGATGGATCACGGCTTTGGGCTGGCGACTCAGTTGGCAATCCAAAGCCCCTTTCGTCTGGGGCGCAAGCGGGACTCAAGCCATTCTTAGACAGCTATTTAAATATTTTTGTTTCCTGCTATTTCCTAGTCACAAAAATAGATTAGTGAATGACCTGGTTAATAGGAATTTCTAAATTCATGGTACTCTCCTTCCTCATTCTGCAAATAACTAGCTATCCAAGGTGCAAGTCAGCAAAAGCAAGGCTGGGAGAAAAGAAACGGAGCAGCAAAAAGAGGCGGCGTATAAGATCTGTGTACTCGTACATCAGTCACAAGCAGCCCGCTGCAGCCAAAGGTGGGAAATGACACTGGGTTCCTTAGCACTGACCTGGGTTCGTTGATTGTGGTGGGAAACAGAAGGCTACAGAGCACATGTGCAGAACGCGCTGTGCTGCTAGCCAATGACTGGTGTGAAGGCGCAGTCACTCCGTCTTGCTACCTGCCACGGGAAACAATTCCCAGGATTCCTGCAGGTATTTCAAGTGTCCCAGCCCTGGGTCCCACTCAGCAGCTGGCTCCGCCACAAAGCCCTGTATGCAGGGTCCCGCCAGCCCCAGCCCCACGGGGTGGTGACAGGCACAGACGGAGGTAACTGAGGGTGAAGCTGTTCCCGCGCCTCTGGCCCTGTGATGCCCCAAGGAACCCGGCCCCAGAGAAACGATCACGTCTCCAGTTTAAGCCATGAGCGTTTGCCTCCCTCCCTAATGCCTCTGCTCTCATCAGGGGGCCAGAGACCCTTACTGACCTTGGGGCACAAGCGCCAGGGCCTGAGCACTGCGCCTGGCGCTGACCCGGGACACGCCTGCCACCCGCTGCAGCACCCAGCACACCTGCAAGACCCTGGATTTTCCTAGCGAGCTCCCCTCCACACCCTGACTCAGCCCAGCCAGTGAGAGCTGCCGCCTGCCAGCCAGGGCTGCAGACATTCCATCTACGGCAAGGGGCAAGGGGCTGAGTCTCTCTCTCACTCAGTAGCCCCAATTCATGAATGAAAACCTGAGCAGCCGCTGTGTGCTGGGCTCACTCCTCTTGCGCCGGGTGACTGGACGGCCCGTCCAGTGGAAAGTAGGAGGGGTGGGGTGAGAGCTGCCCGTAACAGAGAAAGCCCCGAATAGCAGGGCTGTGTCTATACAGTCAGGGCATGCGCTCACCTGCTCACTGGACTGCAAGCCCCTCTGCTCCGCCCTGGCAGGCACAGCTGCATTCGGTATGTTTTCTGCTCTGTTTGCTTTCAGGACGGGCCTGGGGGACCTTCGATCCCGACCTGGCTTCCCCTCCTGCAGTCGCAGTGCTCTCTGCCCACGCCTGCATGGTTCCAGCCTCCCCGCTGGAGCTCCCAGTCGCACACCGGGACAGACACCAGGGCTATGTCTACACTCGTGGCTTCTTGTGCGAGAAATATGCAAATGAGGCTAAGTGTGGACTATCTCCAAGCCTCATTTGCATACCTAATGAGCCGCCATTTTTGCAGAAGAGGCTCTTGCGCCAGAAGGAGGTGTCTGCACGGCCCCTTCTTGTGCAAAAAACCCCTCTTGCGCAATGCGGTTATTCCTGAAAATAATCAGCGTAGCGGCCTTGCGCAAGAGGGGTTTTCTTGCGCTAGAAGGGGCAGCGTAGACAGCTCCTTCGGGCACAAGAGCCTCTTCTGCAAAAATGGCGGCTCATTAGGTATGCAAATGAGGCTTGGAGATATTCCACACTTTGCCTCATTTGCATATTTCTCACGCAAGAAGCTGCGATTGTAGATATAGCCCAAAGGGCTCTGGCCTCTTCCAACAGCACAGTCAGGCCACGCCGTGGGCTCCCCGTTAGAGGTGTGGGGCTAGTCCTCTGTCCCCAGCACAGTTCAGTGCTCAGCCTGTGCCCCTGCTTCAGCCCCGGGCATGCAGCCGACTCTCTCGAACACTGGGAAGTGGGTGGCTGTGGATGCAGGTACCTGCAAACGCTCTGTCCACGGCCGGGAGGGGAGTCCCTCGCTACGCCCGGCTGCTGGCTGAGTTCGCACAATGACCCCGCAGCCCTAGTCACGCGGAGAACGCTGTCCCAGGCTCCCTGCTGCCTTTGCCTTTCAAGGGTTTCGTTGCTTTTCATAGTGAGACGACGAGGCAGAAGAGGGGGCAGAGAGATGAGAGGGCGGAGGAGAATCAATGGAACCAGAGCGTCCCTGACGCCACCTCGGGAAGGCTTTGTAGTAGACAGACTCAGGCCACGGAACGCCTGGGCAATTCAAACTATTAGGAAGCGTTTGGCAACAGTAACCATTCCACATGCAATTTATTAGGACGTGTCTGACAAACCCTAAAGAGCCATCTCGGCAGAGGGGTCTTGCAGAGGAGGGTGTTAGCAACCTCCATTAAAGAAAGATTTCCACATGAGCATTGCATTACCTGCACCCATTTATATAAATCATCCACCCAAAACAAGCACTAGCAAGCCAGACAGATTGAGGACAGATTTAAATTCAGTGACAAGAAGAAAGCAGAGCCTTTACCCATCCCACATAAATCCTGCCAAAAATGGTCAATCGCTAAAAGGCACCGAGAGCAACAGCTGCCGACAGCCTATCACTTTATTTCTGTTGTACTCTGCTGAGTGACAGCAGAAGTAAACATTCATTTCCCCTGTATTCTGCTCGGCAACAGACTATGTATAAATGCAAACTCCACTTGGTGCTAATTGCGCATCTTTGGCAGAGTATAGTACACAAGACTCCACTCACCTGTTGTGTAACAGTGACAGACCCAAGCAGACAGTACTAGAAATGCATGTCCTTGGACCAGGGAAGGGAGGGTGTGAGCAAGACAATCAGATTATCCAGCATGTGACTCTCCTTGACAAGAGAACTAAATCTATTGTTCCTGCAACACCGGGAAGTATTTCCGCAAGCCTGGGTGAATGCTGTCCCTCCATCATGGGACTACATGCCGTGGGCTGAGAACTCCTCCCTGGCTGTCTCCCCCGGCGCAGTTCAGATATTTCTCTTCCCGGCTGACACCAGGGTGGAAGAGGCAGCTTCGCAGCCTGAGAGCCAAAACACTGATTTTTATTTAGGATGTAACAAACCTTTCTCTTGAGAGACTAGCATGACGGCGGCTCCCATTTCCACTCACACCAGTCCTCCCACCCAGCCCCAAGCAAGACGGTGGCCCCGTCCGGCATCCACCTGTCCTGCAGATCTCCTTTTGCAAACCCATACCGGAGGGGTCCCAAGGAGACAGGCAAGGTCCTGCAACCAGCACATGCTGCACTTTGGAGTGTACGGGACTGGACGTGGGTCCAGAATGGTTCTATTGGCAGGTGCTTGCAGGGCACGCATCTAAAACTCACAGAGTAGATGACAGGTGGATGAGAACTCAGGAAGATCTGCCTCACTGCAAGCTGGACTGACTTTTACACACACACACACACACACACACACACACTCTTAAATTACACAACCGGCCTGATTCTCCTTTCAGCTTACACCTGCGTGCACCAGAAGTGACTTCTCTTAAGTCCTGGGGCACCTTAGAGGCTAACAAACAGAGAGCGAGTCATGATGCACTTTTCTTACCCCCCTCCGCCCCCAGCTGGAAAGCAACAGCAAACAGTCTCTTAAGTCAACAGACTGATGCAAACAGGTGTGAGATCACGATCACACTCGGGACATTGATTTCAGCTCACATTCATCAGGATTTAGTATTTCACAGGGCGATCAGGAAAGTCACAGCATGACACCAGCCAGCCCTGGGAGTTCCCTGTGGAGGGCCACCCCTGGATATGACGGTGCCTCATTCTGAACCCTTTGTCTGGGTGTGAAAGCTAACCAGCCGCACACAGCTCTGCTGCTAAAGAGAACTTTGATCTCCAAGGAAAACGAGGCTGAAGTTCTCCTCTCCCGGCCTTGCTCTCTGCACAAGGACAGGAAATCATAATTGCTGGGCTGTCAGATTAGACCTGAAGCCAGCCTGGTGATGAGAATTGGAGATAACAAGTGCTGAGCCGCTCATTCCAGGCTACTGTGTTTTCAGCTCCGATAGGAGAGCAGGGAGTCCTGTGGAAACAGGCCCCCAGGGAGCCCATCTGTAGGTAATTACAAGGGATTTTCTAGGTACAAATCCCAAGAAAGGGGCAAGTTACTTGGTTGTTTAATAAGAAGAGACACTTTAAATGCATGAGGAGCTAGAGAAAAACAAAGGTCATTGGAGGGGCTCTTCTTAGAAGGGAAGGCGAGCTAATGACTGATGACATCAGAAAGGTGAAACAAAAGGCAGGACTGTGCAGCACTTTAAAGACTAACAAGATGGTTTATTAGGTGATGAGCTTTCGTGGGCCAGACCCACTTCCTCAGATCAATATGTGGAAGAAAATTGGCACAACCATATATACCAAAGGGACACAATTTTTCATTGTATCCCTTTGGTATATATGGTAATGCCAATGCTCTTCCAGAATACGATCTGAGGAAGTGGGTCTGGCCCACGAAAGCTCATCACCTAATAAACCATCTTGTTAGTATTTAAAGTGCTACACAGTCCTTTTTTTGTTTCAGCAAGATGAGACTAACACGGCTACCTCTCTATCACCATCAGAAAGGTGAGACAGTCATTGCTTCCGCTGCTTCAGACTAGGAATGTAAAACCCCATTTAATTAGTTAACCCATTAAACATTATGTTTAACTGGTTACCCAATTAAGCGGAGCAAGTGGGGGGCCAGGCTGGAGTCCCTCCCTTCTCCCAGGGTGGGGGGCTGCTCCAGCACCAGCCGGTTAACTGGTTAAACATTCACATCCCAACTTCACTACTTTAAAAAGGTGAAGATGACCAGACAGTCGACAACTCCAAGACAAACTAGAGGAGGAACAGGTAAAGGATATTTAGCTACACTCCAGTCAGCAGGACTCGATGAAATTCGTCCCAGAGTGCTTAAGGAACTAGATGAAGAAATCTCAGAACCATTAACAAGTGTCCTGGAGAACTCCTGGAAGACTGGTGGTGTCCCAGAAGACTGTAGAAGGGAAACAAAGAGGAACGAGGAATTACAGACCAGTCCGCCCAACCAATTATTAAACAATGAATTCGTAAGCACTTGGGGATAGTAGAGTTGTAAGGAATAGTCAGCATGGATTTGTCAACAAGTCGTGTCAAACTAACCTCAGTCCCTTCTTTGACAGGGTTATTGGCCTAGTGGATAGGGGAGAAACCATAGATGTGATAAGATAGTCTCGTAAGCAAACTAAGGGAATGTGGTCTAGATTAAATTCCTATAGGGTGGGTGCACAGCTGGTTAAAAGACTGTACTCGAAGAACAGCTATCAATAGTTTGCTGTCAAACTAGGAGGGCATATATCTCACGGGGTCCCACAGGGGCCAGTCCTGGGTCTGGTACGATTCAATATTTTCATCAATGACTTGTATAATGGAGTGGAATGGAAACGAAATTTGCAGATGACTCAAAGCTGGGAAGGGCTGCAGGCACTTTGAAGGAGAGGAGCTGAATTCAAAACGACCTTGACAAATGGAAGAATTGGGCTGGATTCAAGAAGATGAAATTCTATAAAGACAAGTGCAAACCACTTCACTTAGGAGGCGGAACACCAATGCACAGCTACAACATGGAGACGAACTGAGCTGTGGGCATACTGCACGCGGGCTCTGGGGGGACAGCAAATCACAAATTGAATCCAAGCCAGAGACATGCTGCAGATGCAAAAAGGGTTCCTGTCATTCTGGGGTGTCACATCAGAACAGGAGGAAATCGCCTCACTCTGCTCTGCACTGCTAAGGCTGCCGCTGCAGCGCTGGGTCCGGTTCTGGGGGCCAACGTTAGGGAAGAGGTGGACACAGCAGAGAGCCTAGAGGAGAGCAACAGAAGTGATCAAAGGTTTAGAAAACCTGACCTGCGAGGAAAGTTTTAGGAATCTGGGCCTGCTTACTTTGGAGAAAAGGTCGGGGGGGGGGGCTCTTAAGCTAATAAGGGCTGTTATAAAGAGGACACAGATCAGTTGTTCATGTCCATGAAGGGGAGCCAGGAAGCAATGGGCTTGATCCTATTTAGGTTAGATGTTAGGAAAATCCTTCTAGCACTCAGGGTAGTTGTGCTGTAGAATGACCTTCCCTGGAGGTTGTGGAACCCCCGTCATTGGAGGTTTCTAAGGACAGGCTGGACAAACACCTGTCAGGATTGATCTAGGTCTACTTGGTCCTGCCTCAGCACAGGCGGCTGAACTTGCCGACTTCTCAAGGTCCCTGCCAGCTCTAAGGTTTTATTCAACCCTAATCCAGACTCTGCTTCTGCCCATGAAAAAGCAGGTTCCCGCCTTCCCCGGTCTGAACATAAGAACATAAGAACGGCCGTACTGGGTCAGACCAAAGGTCCATCTAGCCCAGTGTCCTGTCTGCCGACAGTGGCCAACACCAGCTGCCCCAGAGAGGGTGGACCGAAGACAATGATCAAGCGATTTGTCTCCTGCCATCCCTCTCCAGCCTCTGAAAAACAGAGGCTAAGGACACCATTTTATCCCCTGGCTAGTAGCCTTTTATGGACCTAACCTCCATGAATTTATCCAGCTTCTCTTTAAACTCTATTATAGTCCTAGCCTTCACCACCTCCTCTAGCAAGGAGTTCCACAGGTTGACTACACGCTGTGTGAAGAAGAACTTTCTTTTATTACTGATACAGAGGCAGCAGCCCCTGTCCAGGGGAGTCTGAGCTCCCAGACCCCGGTGCAAGCTGGAACTGAGCCAGGCTACCTGCCTGCCTGGCTCCTAATACTCCTAACAAACCCAGGGTCTGCTAACTTAAATTCTACTAACCCTGGGCGTACATTGCAATGTATTAGGAGCCCCAGTGGGGGGAGGTCCTGGACCTGGCACAAGCCAGGACTCAGCTGGGCTGCTGGAGCTGCCTGCTAAAAATCTTACTGGCAAGGAGGGGCGGCAAGAGGGGAGGATGCATGTAGTCTACAACATTAACCTATTAGCTTTTGCGTATTGATTAATCAGTTAAACAACTCCACTATTACATCCCTCGTAGGAGGGGGGAGGGTCCTAGAACTTGAGTTTCAAGTCCACATCGAAATGTCGACACAGCAATTTTTAGCCCTGATGCACAGGTCTGCTGTCCCCGAGTAGACGTACCCTAGCGATTATTAAGCCCACAACTGGCTAGTCCTCAGCTCATCTTCAGTAACTAACCTGAATTTTTAAAAAGACACATGGCTGTAGAATTGCGTTAGGAAGGCATCTCAGAACCGACTGCTAAGAAGCATGCAAAAAGTCACCTGGACATTTCTTCTTCCACCAGCTTCCTAGGTAATACTGTTATAAAAAAACAACAGGTAAGAAAGGCAAAAGCTGAGACAAAGAGATTCAATTCCTGCACCTTCTTAAAAGGGTTTCTTCCAAGAAGCCGAAGAATTAATGCACAGCCACTGTCCCAGCCAGCGGGACTCAAACCATTCAGCCGAGCGCTAGCACTTAGACAGTACTGCAAGTTCTAAATATTTCAAACTCTTACTTCTCTTTCCCAGGCTCCGCAGCAAACAATGGACATTTTGTCTGCTGCTGCTTCACAGAGGTTTATTATTTATTGAAGATTTCCTTTTTTAAGTTTTAAACCTCCCCTTCCCGGTCAGTATCCTCTCTGCATGTCAGTTCAGTTTCCTCAGCAATAGTAAATTGTGTCATGAGAGAAGATCTTGCACCATATGGCTAACATTCTTCC